TAAATAAATCATTATATTCTCTGTCTACTGTTATTAATTTGTTAACTTACTAAGTGTGAAACCCGTGTACTACACGGGTTGATTAAAAAAAATTATATATAAAGATATAAACTTTATATATTTTTTTAAAGAAAACATTAAATATCAAAGTATACACATTAAGTATTTTTTAAAATAAAAATTCGAAATATATATACAAACAAAATGATGAATAAATAAATAATTCAATTTATATTAATAAAACAAACTACAGAAAAATAATTATATTTTGACCATATAACATTTTTTTTAGTTTGTCAATAAAAAACAACAAAGTTTGATTTTTTTTATATAGACAATTTTGCCTAAAATGTCAATAAACTTTAAAAGAAACATGTAAATTTTGAATTATATATATTGAAGGAAACATATTAAAATTTGAAAATATAAGGAAACAAATTAATGACACATTAATTACTTTCTATAACCTAAAAATTAGATAGTTAATTAATAAAATAAAAAATTACCACAAAATGAGTGAAAATTATTTCTAAGAATTAACTACAAAATTACATGTATCCAAATGCATAAGAAATTGACAAGTGACAAAAAGTTCTTTATTTATTAGGGAAGATAAGAATAGTATAAGTTATTCAAATATTTTGTTTGTTATTTATAAAGAAGAGGTGATATTTTACTTATGTTTTAATTCATCTATTTAAAAATAAGAAAGTTCAATTTTTATATCTTTTATTTTAATTGAAATATAAAAAGTCATATGAAAATATAAAAGTCAAACCATTTTTTAAATCAATAGATAAAACGATAAGCAGAAATTAGATTGATATATAAAAATATATTGTTTTATAAAACATAATTAATTAAATTAAGATATATCCTTAAATAAATCATATATAAATATATTTTATTATTTCGTTTAATATGCTATTTTACATTTAAATTGGTTGAAAAAATAGTTATTTATTATTTAGTTTTATCAAAAGTTATTTTTATCAACTAGCATCTAGTTTTTATCTATCATTTTATCAATTATTTTTTCAGCTATTACGTTAAATATAACCTTTAAAAAAACTCACTAAAAACTAATTTCTAAACTATTATAAGATATTGTTTATGGTTTCAACAAACACTAATTATATTATACTTTATACTATGGGGTGTTTGCCAAAATAAAAATTATTATTTATTAGTTATAACTTATTAGCTTATTGGCTTATAAGCTAATAATTTAAAAAGAGTTAACTTATAAAAAAATTATTTTTTCGATGTTTAATACCGCAACAAGTTATTTTTATCCAAACCTCTTTTACTTATAACGGTGTGGAACAACAAATAAGCTAATATGTTGTTTTGCCAAACACCCCTGACATATTAAATAGAATTAAATAGAATTGGTTTATGAGTAGTAAAGTTTATACATTTTAGATTTTTGTCACGAATCTTTTCAATATTGATATATTTAGTCATTATAATTTTGTAACTTTTAGAAAAGGCGCAGTTGTTTTCCTTTTTTTTATACAGAAAATAGTATATATGTTTAAGTTTTTCGTATATTGGCAAGTTTGGCCCCTATGTCGATAATAAATTACATAAATTGTCTTCATAACTCATTGTGCATTTTTCTTTACAGAAACGGTCCATTTGTTAAGAAAAAAATACAAACATAGTTCGTACCTAACAAAAAATTTACATATTACTCCGCTCGCACGCGATGCCCCCCCCCCCCCCCCCCCCCCGGGCGATATATCGCCATGTTTCGTCGCTACCTGAGTTTTGTATATTTGCGTGTTTGCTCCTTACACATTTGTAGTTACACAATTTCGGCCCCGCTTGCACTCCTTGCGAAACGGGAAGGGCGCAACTTCTAGTTACAATAAACTTAAAACATAAGCTAACGTATACACGCCAAATAGACATGAAAAAGATAGGTATTGGACCAGCCGTGAAAAAAGACCGAAAACAAACCGGTCTAAAATAAGACTGGACCGGAAAAAAAAATTGATCCAAAGAAGACCATACCGGCTCGACACCATTCGGAACCAGTCTGGAGAAAGAACCAACCATTCCGAGATCGGTCCCAAAAATAGTTGATCGTTGCAAGATTGACGCAAGACCGATCCGATAGTGGTCTCAAAAAATCCGGACTTTTGTGTTATTTTTATATTTTTAATCATATATTACCTAACTTCTTTCCATATATTTTTTTATCGGCCTCTAGCCTAAATTAACCTAAGTGAAAAATTTTAGTATATGATTTCTATTAAATCTTAATTTATCATTTTAGTATTAATTATAATTTGTTAACAAAAAAAGTCGAAACCAAAACAAAAAACCGAAAAAAAAAATATATTGAAATCGAAATAAAAAAATCCCCCAAACCCAAACATGAAAAAACGCACACTACGACCAAGAAAACATATAGGAAAAGTGCAACACCGGTCCCAAAAATGTCGTCCCAAAAAGAATACAGACTAAATAAAGACCGAGTCTCGCGACTAAATTAAGACCGACCCGAGACTTGTACGGAAAAATTAAACCATTTTCAAACTGTTTCCAAAAAAATCAAATCATTTCAAAACCGACTTAAAACGAAGTAGAAACTGTCGATATGTATTTTAACGCTGAATACAATTTTTAAGCTCTTTATCCTGTAAAACCCTACTTATAAGGAATAGCGACTGGACAAACTTTGAAGATTGAGTTTGTTTTGTGTCATAAACTGGTCCTTAAAAGGAGGAAGAAAGGGGTGTGGACCAAGCAAAAAGAGAGAAACGTAAAAACAAAAGTAAACACGTGTCCTAAATTTGGACAGTAGATAAAACCTCCAACAAGTAAAATCTGCTCTAGATACAACCTCTAACATAACTTCAAACCTTTTACATACTTAATGCTTAAAGGATACTATTAAACAATAAATTTTAGCATTTTGTAACAATTTATTCCAACTTATTACTTACTAGTAAATAACATTATTAAACAATAAATTTAAGCATTTTGTAACAATTTTAGCATTTAGTCACTAAATTTTTTTCGAGCTTGATGTGCCCTTAAATTATTTGAAACTGTTCACATTTTACCCTTATGATAGGTAACAACTTGTCATAAAGGCAAAATGTGAACAATTTCAAATAATTCAGAGGTAAATCAAGTACGAAAAAAAGTTCAATAATTAAATATAAACAAAATTGAAAGTTTATTACCAATTAAAGTCATTATCATGTAAATGGTTCTAAATGTTATTAAGAATAACCACAAACGGAATATAGAGGTCACAAAAATGAGGATGTCGTAGTAGTTGTGTGATATACCTTTATTGTATAAGGTATCCAAAACAACACTTAGAAATGCAGCAGAATCGATTTCAATCACATAGAAAGTGAAAGAAAAAAATTGTGGTGGTTTCAGACATACTTAGGACATAGGCGGCGGTTTTCACTTCAGATGTTGAGACCGTTGTTATAGATCGATACTTTTCTTCCTAGTTATTATTTGTATCTACATTTTCTATTTTTATGTTGGTTCTACATGAACTTGTCATTGTGCTCCTTTTGATTTTTTATCTTATTTTTAGTTTTATTGTTCTTATATGTGTATTTTTGCCTCTGTGAAACTCTACTTATTATTTTTTTTATGGGTTGGTGTTTCACACACACACACACATATATATATATATATATATATATATATATATATATATATATATATATATATATATATATATAGAGTCAAGATCAAATAAGAATGAAATTTTTGGTAGGAAGGTAAGAAGTTTTTTTTCTACATATTTTTTTCGCGAACAAACAAAATGAATCATTAGATGATTTATTTGTAAGATGATTCATAAGAAAAAATTCTCAAAAAAAACATCTCGATGATTCATTTATACAATGATTTTGTTGTTATTCACTAAAATTGTCATAAAAATGAATTTTTTTTAATTTACTTAAAAATGAATCATAAAGATGTTTTTTTGAGAATTTTTTCTTGTGAATCATCTTACAAATGAATCATCTAGTGATTCATTTATTTTGTTCGTCAAAAAAATATGTAGAAAAAAAACTTCTTACCTTCCTACCAAAAAAGATTTCTTACCGGATCTATATATATATATATATATATATATATATATATATATATATATATATATATATATATATATATATATATATATATATATATATATATAACGACCGTTGGAAACGAAACCGGAATTGGTAACAAGGCCCGGTTACCAGAATGTGGTTTATTCAATTTAAGAACTATCTAAATACATGTTAAACAACCATCAAAATTTGTTATGTAGAATGTTTTATTTTCATGTGTTTTTATTCAATTTAACCGATTCGACCGGTTTCTTTTTATAAAAAACTAGTCTGTTTTTTCTTGTCCAAAAATAGAGATAATATCAATGCTAGTTTGTGGTCCATCTATTCAAACCGATTTTTAAAACATTGAAAAAAAATAAAAAAAAATAAAAATAAACACTTGTCCTGCAAAAGATGAACCTCGATGCTTTTTTATATTAGACGACCATGATTCCTTTAATTTATTCTAACTATTTTTAAATTTTTTTTTTTAATTTCATCATCAAGAAAGATAAATTGTTATCATTGTTACAAATTATTCTAACTATTTATTGTTATTATTATTATTATTATTTTTTAATTTCATCATCAAGAAAGATAAAAGGTCATCTTTAATTTTAATGCTTAAATCATATAAAAATAATCATTTTTATCATTGTTACAATTTATTCTAACTATATATAGTAAAACGTCACATCAACAAATATATATTGTCTAAAAGAATTGTATAACTTGGAAGGCTAACCTTTACATCATTATATGTACCTTTATTTCTTGAAATCTACTTCAATTCTTCAAGAAATTTACATCAAACCCAGATTTCAAATCATGAACAAGGTTTGTTCTTTGTAGTCAAAAACAAAATTGTGTTTAGAGAAACTTAAATTTAATTTGATTATTGATCAAATAAAAAATTCATGAGTTAATCAAACAATCTTGATGAGACCCACAAGCTTTCTTCTTCATCTGTTTATATTTTTCAAAATCAAAACCTTCCATCTTCATCACCTTCATCTGCTTCACACGAAACCTGCTCTGAAAAATTGCTTCAAAAGAAGGCTCTCTTGCTGTTCGTATGAAGAATGCATATCCAATCATGAAATACATTGATGTCACATAGAAGCAAATCGGTTCCATTACATCCCATGAAAGCTCCCAAAATGTTAGCCTCATGAACGCCGCCGTCTGCACCATTAGGTACCCTAATCCGCCCCAAAGCTCTCGCCGGACCATTTTTTCAGCTTTTTCGTCGATTTCTGACTTCCATCGTTCCATCTCTTCCATCTCCTTCACCGGAATATCCACTCTGGTCATTAAGCCATTGATTGCGTTCACTACCTGAAACGAAACCGGATTAGATGAAAATTTGAACAAAATTGTACTGATTGAACACCGATTGAATTGAATATAGACGGATTAACGAACCTGTTCGGGTTTAAGAAAAACGACTGTTCCCAAAATGAGAACGGAACCGGAATCATCTAGAGCTTTCGCGAGATCTACACCTTGATCTCTGTTAGAACATTCATCAACACACATCTGAATAAACTCATCGTATGATACATGATTCTTCTGACTATTTCTCAACTTCGATTTGACGATCTCAAGTTGCGAAGCCCTAAGGATTTTCTTAGCGTCGGCCACCGTCAACGACGGAGCAGTAATAAGTCCGTCGAGACGGATTCGGTTTCTGGCAATGTCCATTTCTTTAAGCCGCTCCAACAGCTTCTCACCGCCAGGACGGAAAATCTGTGGAAACGCCGCCGAGGAAGAAAGGTACAACGGCCGCCGCTGGAGAAACCTCCGGAAAATCGAGCCGTGTTCCGGATCAGGCGTTACTCCGTCTGGCTCCGGTGGCATTAAGGATTGAACACCGGATGATGAAGATGATGAAATGCGGCAACTGCTTAATGTTTGATTCGATAATTTACTACTGCGAATATTGAACAATCGTTGAATTAACTTTTGCTTGCACGCCATTGATGTAGTTCAAGCTCTCTTGTTTTCGTTTTTCTGCTCGCTCCCAAGAAATTTAGCCGTCGAGAGCACCACTATTTATAGTTGGCACTAATCTCATATAATATTAAGAGTAAATTACAACTTTGGTCCCCGTGTATAGTATATGTTTATGGTTTTAGTCCTTAAAAAAATAGATTTCCAATTTGGTCCTTAGTTTATAGTTTTGTAACTCTTTTGGTCTCTTACTCTAACCAATAAATAGAAAGGACTTAGATTCATCAAAGCTCAAGAATTTGAGAAGGAATAGGACAATAATGAGAGTTGTTACCAAGAAATTAATTGCTTAACCTAATGTTGTAAAAATTAGTCTAGATAGTAGATTCATCATAGTCTTGGGTAATCTTAATTCCCCTACAAATAATGGTAATCGATTGTGTTAGGTGGGTTCGGTCAAAACCAATCAATAACTAGGCTTGGTGCTCATTAGTCTGTCAAAATTAACAAATTAGTCAAAATAAGTCAACAAAATTAATCAGACTTAGTGGTGATTAATCGGGCATGGCGGTCATTAATTGGTCATAGTTAGCGAAATAGTCAAAATAGTCCAAATGTTTATTTTTTTTTATATAAATTCTTTTATATCTTAGGATCCCCAATTATTAATCACTTGACCCAGTCGACCAACTAGATATAGCCTAACGACTTTTACAACCTTGTTAATTTAAACTCACTGGGTTGCAATTTATGTAGGAGCGACTACATTTTCAAAGAAGACACTTAACCTAACATCTGAACATGGGTTACATTTTCTCCATATTTTTCTTTCTTTTTATCCCTTTTGATTAGTTTAATTCCACCATGAGAGTTCTTACCATGAAGATCTCTCACCTTTAACCAATTAAATTTTGAATAAAAAAACAAGTTATAGTTAAAGTTACAAATCAATAGGAGAAATGTACACTTCAAGTTGAGAAAATTTCCTTTGAATTTATAAAGAAACAAAGTAAGAGAGAATCAGGAACATTAAATAATTCTAAGGCTATAACAAACAAGAAGCTAGACAGCTAGGTATATGCATTTTTCATTCAAGAAGTCGCCCCAACTTTCTGATGCAACCCAACCAATTAATTTCTCTTTCAAAAGTATACAAATAAGTATAAAAAAACTGATGCTTAATCAAAGCAAATATGCTTAATCATGATGAAGGAAAATGGTGTTTTGTGATAACAGGAGAATTTTGGTATGTAAGGGATCACATGATACATTAGAGAGGGAATGGTGGTGCATTGGTGAGACGGGGAAGGGAATGCATGAAAGAGGGAGGCAATAGGTGAAAAAAGAAACTATGGTGGCAATGACAACTCACGGTGGTAGCACATAAGAGGGCGACAATGGTGTTGTAGTGGGAGCTATGGGAGAGAAGGTTGACAGACGATGATGAAATAATGTGGGCAACAGGAAAAAGAAAGGGAAGGAACAAAATCTTATTTTATCTATGCAGTATTTTTATATAAATTAATAACATGTAAAAATTAAGGACAATATAGTCATTGCATATATATTTAATATGTAGGTATTGTTGTGTAAAATCCAAGGACCCAAAACATTATGAAACTATGAAATAAGGACCAACTTTGCAAACCCATTAAATTTGGGACCAAAATAAAACGTTCACGCAAAACTGAAGTACCGGATGTGTAATTTACTCTAATGTAATTTACTCTAATATTAAAGATAAGATCAGCTGAATCCCTCACTCGATTATAATGTGTTATAGAAATTACAATTCGTAACGTTTTCATTAATGTATTATTACATTGTATTCTAAATTTTTAGTCCTAATAAGTTATCTAGCAAGTCAAATGCTATTTTTTTTTATAATACAAAATTGATATTATTAAAGATGAAATATTATGAATGACTCAATATAAAAAGTAGATTTTATATATTTATTTTCGAATCAAAATTTTATTTATTCCTATTATAACATTATATATCTTTAAAGTATGGTTCTTATTAGGTTAACGATTTAGAAGGCTAAAAACTTTGTCACATGCATACATTTGTCCATAATCATTTGAATTATATATTATGCGTCTTTAAACTAACATGTCATAATAATTGGGTACTACATGTTATATGCTTATTTGGTATCATATATATATATATATATATATATATATATATATATATATATATATATATATATATATATATATATATATATCTCAAATATATATGATTCTAACATATATATATCTCAAATATATATGATTCTAACATGAAAACTAACATATATTTAAAATGTTTACTACATCGGCTTCTATAATACATAACGCTTTTCAGTGAAGAAGGAAGAATCGATCAAAGAAAGAAAATCAAACAATGTGTCCTTTTACATATCTAAACCAAGTATCGTTGTGCAATCTAAAGTACATCGACTTCTAACGATTTTCAGTGAATTAGGACATGTTGGACGCTAGATAAACATACAATAAGGTTTACGGTATGTTTTAGTTATATGGTAAGTAGTTTTTTTTTATTTATTTATAGTTGAACTGAAGAAAGTAATGTAAAAACCCAAGCTAATTTGATCTTATTTATGTATGATATATGGAAAAGTTTTCTTTTAAGGAATGGATTGATCATAAACTTCCAAATGAGTGGTATGGCACAATTGTATATGATCTTCATACTAATTTTTAGACGAAGAGAAAAATACGAAATAGAAGCTTAGAATTTTGATTTAAAGATTGCAACTTTGGAACGTTAAATGAATCTATACAAATAGAAGATATATCAAGAGGTTATTAGTGTTAGAAAGGAATTAGAAAAAGTTAACTACAAATTTTTTGTTTACAAATGTTTTATGCTTGTATATATATATATATATATATATATATATATATATATATATATATATATATATATATATATATATATATATATATATATATATATCTATATATATATAGGAAAGTGAATATACCCTTAAGGGTATATAAGGTTAGGTACCCAATCTACAAAAGTACGTAGTTTTGTATAATGGACTAATTTTCTGAAAAAAAAATATACGTAGTTTCCTTAGTCGATTGATTCCTTGAACTGCGATTGATTCCATGATCGTTTTTTTTCATTCAGAGTTCACATACGACCACAACAAAATCGATATTATACAAATCAGAATTACAAATTGGAATTAACAAACAATTGATTTCATACGGCTACATCAAAATCGTTTTTTGTCATTCGGAATTCAATTTTATTGAATTGATTTTCTGTCGTTGTTGTAGCTTACGTGTCCAACCAGGTGCGTTAATTTTGAATTAAATACAACAAGAAATCGACCTTATTCAAAAACTACAAATCCCAATAAAACTAATTTATCAATAGTGATATGATTTTTGAAGTTTTTCTGAAAATTTTCTTTTGGAGTTTATTGTTACAGAGCAGTGGCGGAACTAAAAACTTTTGTTAGGGGTAGCACAAGAATATTCTTGATAAATGATAATAAGTATTATTATTTTTTTTAAATATGATTGCATTATATATATCAAACTAGTCCAAAAGTTTTATATTTTAAAGTTGACATCTTCGTTTATCTATTTTTCGAATACACTCCACCACTTTTATCACTACTACCACTGCCAACATCCAATTTTCTTTTAAAAGGATTTCCAATAAAACTCTACAAACAAAATAACTAATTAGCTAATTTTTTTAATTTAATTTGAACAATCAAATTAAACTAAAATAAAAGAACATTAAAAATCAATGTAAACTAATTAATAAATGATACTTATTTCGTTAGCAAATTTCATTCTTGTTAGTGAAGTCAAATAAGCAACTAGCCTAGCCTAGCCGTGAGATAGTAGGAAGAAGAAGCCTAGATGTCAAATAAGCTCTATTTCTTGTCTATGTATTTTTTCCTTTGCAGAAATATTGTATGCATTCCACAGGCAAGTGGGCTGCTCCATTAATTTAGTGGTCATTCATTAACTGGAAATAGTTTAGAGCTTTGAACTTTTTACTTAGACTAGGAGCTATTAAATTTATCAGTACACTATATGTATATATAATAAAAATCCAATTTTTTAACATATGTAGAGAGAAGTGAGGGGTAGCACGTGCTACCCCTGCCAACCAATTGGTTCTGCCATTGTTACAGAGTCTTCCATTCTTGACTGTTATTGGGTTTTTTACGTATAATGTTTCAATTTTATTGAATAGAAAACAATTTGGTGTTAATCTTTTGTTTGGAAACGTGCATTGATTTCGTGTGTAGGCCCTAATGAGTGAAAACGAAGCAACAATTTGGTCTTCTTTAGAAGCCCCCCAAAAACGAACATGTTCTTACTGTCAAGGATTGGGTCATTACACTACTAGTTGTTCAAAAAGAAAGGGTCTTATTATATTAAATTAGTTTTCGTGATTTACAACTCCAATAATTATATTAACAATTATTTATTTTTTCATGGATTAGGCATATGAATCGTTGCAAGAGAAATAATGATGAGACATACTATGTATATGAGCAAAAGAAAAAGTAGATGGTTGTTGACACAAATGATGTATGAATAATCTAGAAGTTGTTGATGCTTCTTAACAATTTTTAATGTTTTTGAATGGAATTTGTTGATTGTTTTATGATTTGTGTTTAAAATTGAAATTGCGCCACCACTATGTGTTTCAAACTAAAGTATGATGATATTTTGTGAAAAAAATGAAAATGTGATGCTATTTTGTAAAAAAAACGAAAAGTTGAGGCTATTTTGTGAAAAAGGAAAGTATGAGGCTATTTTGTAAAAAATTTAAAGTATGAGGCTATTTCATGAAAAAAAAATGAAAATCTGAGGCTATTTTGTGAACAAAGGAAAGTATGTTGTCATTTTCTGTTAAAAATGTGATTTTTCTACAATTATGGGTTAAAAACGAAAGTATGCTGTCATTTTGGGTTAAAAATGTGTTTTTCTGCAATTGTGGGTAAAAAACAAAAGTATGCTGTCATTTTGTGTTAAAAATGTAAATTTTCTGCATTTGTGGGTTAAAAACGAAAGTA